TTAGGATGTGGTACATTTTTGCCTTATTTTAAAATATAGCATAAGGTTGGTCTGCTTGTGTATTTCTGCTAGTATGAATATAATTCACTGATCAGTCTCACTTTGAAAGAGCAAATTTCAGTTTGTGGTCTGTGCATTACTTTCAAATAATCTGGTTTTATTTAAAAAAACAAAACCAAACAAAACCCAAACCCTAAGAAAAGTTAGTAGGGTTAAATTGCAGTAAAAGTTATGATTTGCTATTGGAAGATTTTCAGAAGTTGGAAGGATTAAGAACTGTTGTTACAGAGGCCTCCACATACTTTTCCCCATATATAAGAAAAAATATCTGTCTAACAGGGAGTAAATTATTTTATCTATTTGAAGTTTTGGGGTTTGATATACTGTGTATGGATGAGGTACGCTGAGCTGGGGTGTACCAGATATGTTAATACTCTAATACTGTCTTATGCTAGTGAATTCTTTAAAAAGACTTGTAAGAATTGCTCTACTGGGTCAAATCAAAAGTTCATCTAACCTGTCAGGGACAAGAGCATGTTTCTGACCACCTAGGCAGGCAGTGTAACATCTAGCTGGTCCATCCCGAAATCATGCTGTGAAGACCTCTTTACATGGCAGTTCTCTGTTTCCTTGTGGCTTCCTCCATGCCTGCCCCTTCCAAGGCCTCATCAACCTCCTTGTCAGCCTCCTCTTGGCCAACCTGGACATTAATGCTTTCAAGAAGAGAGGACCTTGGTGGGGGAATCCTAATGACAGTAGGCCTGTTATCGTTCCTTGGTGCTTCAGCATTGCCAGGCAGAGCTCTCCTGGGCAGCGTCTGCCTGCTGCTTGGGAGCCATCAGGGAGGAGCGTGTGTTGGAACCGCTGTCCTCAGCATCCCCTTCCTAGTTCCCATTTTTGACTCTTTGACTCCCCCAACCCCTTCTTTGGAGACAACAAACGAAATCAAAGAATCATTTGGATCTTTACATGGTATTTTTTTTTTCTTTAGCCCTTCCTTTCCGAAGGGACACCTTACATAGAGAAACCTTTAGTGGAGAAAAAACAAGAGTGGTACAAACCAGTGAGAGAGAATTATTTAAAAAGGAGTACAAGAAGGAGGGAAAACATAGAATTAACTTTTACCTATGTAGTTTCTGTATTGTTGGTAACAGCTAATGCTTGTCTAGGTGTGGATGACCAGATGTTTCCATTTCTTAATGACACTTTGATTGGTTAACTGATTGCCTACCTAGCACCTACTGGAAAAATGCATGTTTCACAGTTGAAGCAGTGCACATGTGATATGTTTAATTTATTGTAACATCACATTCTTTTTGTAGTATTTAAACTCAGAGAGAGAGAGATGAACTGTTTTTTTTTCTTAAAAATTAAATTATTATGGGCTATTTTTACAATATACAGAAAATAAAACTGAACATTATATTTGTAGTATCAGTGGTAGGGAAGTCTGCCTTTTTATTTGAAGTTATTGCTATTTAATAGCCTAAATATCATTCAGTTATCCTGAGAAGTTGAAATGGTATATTAATTTCTGTGGTTTCTTCTGGGAATTAGGATGTACTACTGATGCAGAGACATACTTGTTGCCTTCAGTGAGAAAATCTTTGAAAATTTTCCTAGTATTTCTAATTTCAGTCCAACTTTAACATTTTCCTTATGATGCTGACATCTCTAGCAAAATCTGCAAATGAAAACATGGATTTTTAGTCTTATATTAATTATTAATTTAGTGCCAAAAATAAGGTTGGCATACAGTTGACTGTATAAAACAGAGCTTCTAATTTTGCTAGTAAAAATGAAGCTCAACTGCAATTAGTACACATCATATATCCCTAGTAGACTGTTCTGAACTGGTATGTATAGTCATTAAAAAAAACAAACCTTGTGCAATAATGGCATTGGCTGAAGTGATGATCTTCTTTGATTTTTGTTCATGTAGCTTTTTGGGAGTTCTCCGTAGAGTCTTTTTGAGTAAAATGGGAGTGTGTCAGGTCTTTGTGCAGTGTTGAGTTTTATAGTTGACTGGAATGAATCTGTACTGAATGCTTGGAGAAGTATCTTAAATATGTTACAGTCTTACAGTATCTGATTATGAATCAGTAAGATTAAAAGCATAATTCTTTATGCAGAATAATATTTTCAGTGGCATAGTTATGATAATATCTTCCACAATCTCAGTTTTTAGTGTAAACTGTTCAAGCAGGAGAGTAGTCCAAACTATACTGAAACCCTTATGTTTCTGGAGGTGAGGATATAAGACTGAGATAAGTATATAAATCCATTTATTTTCTCCACAAAGCTACTTTTAAAAGCAAAACTTCTAAAGCTGAATGCCTGACTTCACTGAGGTTGATTAATATCTTGCCTTCTGTTTTGACACAGTGAAATCATTCCCCAGTATACAGTGAAGAGAAAATGTTCAAAAACTGAATGAAATTGCACTAATTATAGGGACAAATTTCAGGGATATTTAAGGAGATATTCCTTTAAAATGTGAAATAAAAATGCTGCTCAGGAAGAACAGTCTGGGGAAAAAGACTTTTTTTTCTGGACAGGCTATGTGTTTCTGTTGTTGTTCTGTTGTAGTTTTAGCAAGTAATAGTGGAAGAAATAGATGTACATATGATTCATGATATTGGATGAAAGTAAAAAGTGTACGGTAAGGTCTCTAATTGATTTGTGCTAGTGTGAAAACCACTTGGTCATATTGTGCAGCAAAGAAGCAAGATTTATTAACACAGTTACTCAAATTCACAGCAAATTCTATCAGTATGGCTAGTGATCTCTCTCAGCTGGTGTTTCTAAGTGATATTTAAGATGAGCCAATGACATTGTTATGGCTTGAGATATCCAAACTTGGGTTGTGTATGTTGCAAATTGTATATGTAATTAATGTCTGTGATGTCTAACGCATTCCTTTGTCAGTGATTGGTTATGTTCTGGGAATAGTGTTGGTTTGCAGAGGGAAAAGATTTTGAAATTGACATTCAAGGCAATCTTATTTTTGTAAGATGCTTTAGAAAATGTATGTAAGTGGTTTTAGACACTTCAGTTTGAGGGGGGGACAGGAAAAGTCCCCGTTGATGATTTTTTTTTTTTTTTTTTTTTTCTTTTTTTAATTTCAAAGTAGGGCACATCCATGTCGGTAACTTTTGATCAGGAAAGTTTCAGTTGATTCTTCTTAATACTGCGATTCTAAGCATCTATTCTGATAAAAATAACTTTTTCCTTTTTTTGGCTTCCAACAAAACCTTATGGTAGTGTTTTCCTTACTACAGTGCATTGTATTTCATATCATGCATATTTTATATTAGAGAATATATTCTTTTCATCTGATATGTTCACAGCTTATCTGCAGGGGATCTCTTGAGCCTCTTAGACCTTAAGCTCAAAGTGTTTGAGGTCAGCCTTGAGCGTCTGGAGTGCTATACATTGGAAGGATGTTAGTGCTAGTTTTGACTTTGTATTTGGCCCTGTTCTGTGCATGGGTGTTTATGTATGCATAGACTTATATTTATTTTTTCATAACAATATACATTGGCTCCACATGGAAGTATTAGTCATAGACAGAAAACACTTGTCTAGATCTTCTTTCTTAAATATATCAGCAGATTCTTTCATTTTAACAGACTTACAAAGAAGACTTCTGTAACATAATGAAGTTCACAATATATTTTCCCCTTTAAAGGCTTTAAGGAAGCAAGATGCTAAAGCAGATGGAACAGAAGAACTCATGAAAAATAAACTTGGGAAATATGAAAGTGAAAAGAACCAAGTAAGACTTAATTTTCTCCTTTCTTGTTTGGTTTTAAATAAGTGTATAGTGTTAAATGTTACAGCATATGCTTCCTTTTTCAGAGAAACCAACAGGATAAACTTTCTTAACTCTAAGATGACAATGGGTTTTTCTGCATCAGAAGCACTGTGAATATAGCTATGCTGAAGTTCTGTCTTTCCTTCAAAGCTCTTTAGTTAGTGTGTTACTTCTAATGACTCTTCCATCCTGACAGACAAGTTTATAACTTGGGGATTATCCTTGATTTCTTTCTCTGATTTGTCTCTGAATTTATACGTATTCTGCTGTTGCTTATTTGCAGCAGCTCAAAGATGCAGCTTTTCTTCATCCCTGCAACTAACGCATGTTATTTTCCACCATGCTTATCATTAATTACTCTTACTGAACTATCTGTTCCCATATTGCACTCTTCCTGTTCATAGAACACAAGATTTCTTATATTTCTGTTCTGGCCATATTACACTTTTTCTAACTTTTTTCCCTTTTACATCGAGTTTAGCCTTTTTATCAATAGTTTCAAAGTTAGCCCTTTATGCTAAACCGTCTATGCAGTGTTTTATGTTATGTTACTCTCCCCTTTCCATTAATGCTGGTGCTGTTTACTTTGCCCGTTTACTAGCCTCTCAACATCCACTTTGAAATTGCTATCTCTGCAATAACAATTTCCGCTGTCAAAAACTACATTTATTTCCATGTGGATCTTTGTGATCTTTTAACTATTTATGGTAGAAGTCAGAAAATATTTTGTAGCTTTTGTTTTCTGTTTTTTTTTCTAAATGGTCATCAGTTTGCTGACTATTTCTGATTAAACATTTTTAAATTCCCTTAATGTTATATTTTTAGGAAAAATCTTAATTGTAAGAAATTCTGGGCACTTCAATTTTTCAGTTGTCTTGTTTCCAGAATAATTCAAATACATCTTCTTGCACAACACAGAAAAACTACCGAATTTACCAATTACCAGTTCTACCAATGCATGTCATCTTTAACACTTTTATGATTAAACTATGTAACAAAGGTGACTTCAAATGTTAAGTCATTGTTAATTTTAATTTGAGTTCGAAAGTATGTTTCAAATCCAGGGACAATGTTTTTGAAACTTTTTTAAAAAGTTTATCTTCCTTTCTTTTACTTATAACCAGTAAAAATTTGCTTTCATGCTTTTTTGTTTTGGATTATATATACCACTTTGTATCTTCATGTGATATAGAATTTTGCACAAAAATTATAGACTGTAAGTTAAACTCTCTCTATGTAATTTAAATAAATATAACAGGGATTTAGTGAAATGAAAGTTTGTGTCAATATTTTGGACAAATAAGAATATTGTGTCTATTATACCTCGTTTTAAATAGATGTTTATATCAATTAATTTGTGCCAGAATTAAATAGTTAAAATACACTTTTGTACTATGATGCATACATTGCTTTTGTTTCTTCATCATCTTCTGTAATGAAAGCTTGAGCAGGAATTGGAGCAGTCCCGGAAAAAGCTGAATGAATCAGAAGGCAGTAGAGAAGCTCTTTTGCATCAGGTAACTGCTTTGGTGTGGTGAAAATCACAAAGTTTTCATATTAGGCTGCGTCTGAGTCTTTTTGCTTAATCTTCCTATCTTATACTCTGATAAAATTGTTCTGGGAAGGGAAGGAGGAGATACAGAAAGACAGGTTTAAGAGTCTAAAATATGTGGACTGAGCTCTCGTTATATTTTTTCTGCTTTCCAAACGTTTATGTATATATGTTCATATATAATAATTATATTAGTGATAGTAGTTATGGTACTTTTTAAGTACATAAACACATTATTTGTAACTGCCCTTTATAGTATGTTTTAGAACAACTTCTATATTAGCATGTGCTTTGCATAACAATAATTACTATAATTGGTGAATTCAGATAAACCAGTGACTTAGAAGTATTTGCTGTAGTGTATACTAACACATGATAAAAATATATAAAAAACAAACACTTGAAAAACTATCTAAAGTGTACTCTACACAATTCCTATTGATGCACATATGATTAAATCTAGAAGTTGCAGGAACCTGGATTATAGCTTTAGGAAAACGTCCTTTCTCCTAAACATTTCTAATCCTTCCTTCTTTCAGAGGAGCTGGGGAAAAAGATTGAAATAAATAGGGAGGGGGCAATTAGGATACTTAATCTGTTAGTTGTTTGACTTGTGTATCTAGCAGAAGTTTCAGTTGGCTATATTACTGTTTTGAATTTAACTCACTCTGCATGGAATATAGTGCTATATCACATACAGGTAATATGAGTTAGAGCTGTTTTCCTTCAATTCAATTTTAGCATGTCATATTTTCTTTATTTTCCTGCACACAACGCCATCTTTGTAAGTGCTAGACTGTATATGATAGAAAGGAAAAATGTAAAAAGCCCTATGTTTCTTAAGAATAAGTACATTGTATTTTTAATGAGTAGAATTTAAGTAAAATATATTGCTTATTGAATTTGTATAGATATTTTCACTAGCAATGTAAAAAGACAATTGCAACATAAAAATGGTAGCATTTTGTTTGGTCTAGAGAAATTAATGCTCGTCTGTGGTCAACATAACAAATTAAAATCTTTCCTTTAATTTTGAATAATCACTTTGTGGCCTATAATTAGGAAGTAATTTGTCTTTTTGTTTACCATCTGCAGTACTCTTGAGATTTATTTATAAATATTACTTGTGTATAGTCTTTTTTGGTTTTTGTAGTGTTTAGAAGTATGCTATTTACTTTTTCATTCTGTTTTTCATTAAACATTTGATACTTGTACATGTATTTTAGATTGAGGATCTTCGTTCCAAACTTTTGAGAGCAGAAGAAGACCGTGTAGAGTTGCAACATCAAATTTCACATGTTGCTATGCACCGCCAGAGCTACCAAGATATACAAGATGATGACAGGAGAATTGGAACAGGTACAACTCTCAGATTTTGCACTAGAGAACTGCAAATTAGTTAGGCTGGACATTAATTCTGTCTTTGAGTTTCAGTCTAATTCTCTGCTGTTTCAACAAAAACAGCCATTTAACTCCTCAGTTTTAAGTTAATAAGTACTGGCACCAGAATATGAACAAATAAAGAGCAACGAGAGTTAAAATTTGGGATAAAATACCACGATTTGCATGGTTAAAACAAATGAATATTATTAGAGACAATTTCAGTGAAGTGGATAGTGTTTTTACAGAATAAAAGCATTTGAAATATTTTTAAATAATAATTTTTCTGAAATTTTACATTTCAGTCCGTTTGCAGTTTAAATTCAGCCATCTTGAAAATCATAGCAAAAGTTATTTACGTAGCTGGTTAATAAGACTGATGAATTTCTGGTAGAAGTTCTAAAGAGTAACAACATGTTAAGAAAATTTTTCAGTGTGATGTAGTCAGGGCTTCTGTTTGCAGTATGTTAGAATTTGAGAGATGGAACAATTATATTTAGAAAAAAAATATTTTAAACAATTTCAAGACATTATTGCATATTAAATTACCACTTTAGCCAGGTCTTCACTAAAGTTCGCTTGTTATTTATCTATCTGTATTTAAACTTTTCAAACATAATCAAAAAAGCATTAGAGAAAGTCTTTATTTTTCTCCTTATTAGCATAGAAATGTATTACTCAAGATAATAGAGGAATAGTGACTCCAAATCCAATGTCTCTCTCAGTATTTAATTAGTTTGGTTAATGACTTCTTTTTATATTTTCATACTTCAGCTACTGAATTATCTTGGTTATTTAAAATAGGACTCTGACTCCCTGTTTTACAAATCTCATACAGAGCACTGGAAAATGGCTAGATTTTGTACATGGCTTAGCTTCAGAAATGTAACACAAAATAGTCATTTTAATAGTTTTTTCTCTAGTCATCTTAATGTATCTGCTTAAAAGTGAATTTATTTGAAACAATATGCCTTTCATGTTAATGAAAGCGTATTTTAATTTTTCCATTGGTTTTATAATTATAAATCAAAACTGTTGTAAAAATATGAAGACAATTTAAAAAAAAGTACTGGAGCTATTAATATGTACACATATATATAAATTATGCAGTTGTGTTTCTCCTTACTGTTACTTCTGTTTCTTCAAAGATGCATGGGAAGAATACAAATGGAGATTTTCTTTGCCTCTAGTAGTTATTTATGACTAAAGACCTTTTAATTTCTGGTTGAGGAAATTTACAGCTTATTCTCATCAAGAACTTCTATTATAGTTATAGGATTCAGGCATAAAATTGACAGATAGTGTGACTTCCGAATCAAGAGGTATTACTCTGGTGGGATAAGATCTTGGCCTTGAAGTTTGTGGCCAAGTTTCATTTACACCAGAATTTCCCCATTGTTTCTTCTGTCCTATTTTACTTCATTGGGTTTTAGGTTTTTTTGTTTTGTGGGCTTTTTTTTTGGGAGGGGGGAGGAAGAGGAGAAAACCCCCATAAAATGACTGGATAAACAGAAATACTGTCTCATTCAGTAAATGGTTATGATATAGGTATACCTATTTTTCATGGATACTTTGATTTAAAAAAAAAAAAAAGTTGTAGAATAGTCTCAAGTAAAGAAGAAAATTGCCAAAAGAGAAATGAGAAAAAAAAATATCTTATGACAAGTTGGTGTTTCTACTATTTTATAGTAGCTGAAAGATATGAGAGAGAGAAGCAAGAACTGGAGAAACATATTTTAGAGCTTAAAGCAAAGCTGAGTCATAATGCTGTAATGTCAGATGTAGAAGAACTAAAAAGATGCATAGAGCGTAAGGACAAGGAGAAAGCACAGCTTGTAATGCACATACAGGTAAGTTGTTTTTTGTTGTTTTTTGGGTTTTAGGGTTTTTTTTAATAATTTCCCATATGTTTAAGGTAGGTGAAGTGCCAGATTAGAGAATAACCTTTAAAACTAAGAGTAACTGTCATGCTCTTCGTAGTTTATTGTATAAATAACTTTGAAAAGTGATCCGAGTTTGCAGAGGTTTTTTTCTCCCATCTTGTTAATAAACCAAAAAGATACTTGCTATTGCCCATGAATTCATGGTTTGGATTACTTCTCTTTCCCATGTGCAAAGAAAAGGTGATCTGATTTTTATCAGCAGTTACCATTAATAATGGTTTCTGAAATTACTTTTATAAATTAGCATTTACTTCCTCATTCCCCATTCCACCATGCTTCAGAACTAAAGTTTAACTTTAAACAAACCGGGATACCTTGTTCTATGAGAGAGTGCAGTAGAGTAACAAAAACAGTTCATAACTGCTCTTTTTTTAGCAATTAGATGCAATATAATAATACAATAATTATTATATTAATAAGTATTAGCATTCTTATTTATGGTAAACATATACTATTTAAAGTGGTTCTCTGTGAAAAGAATAACTTTTACCTTGAACACGAAATGAGATGTAAGGAGGCAGTAGCATTTTTTTTAAGACAGGAGATTTCTGTATTTTTGGATCTTGTCTGGATTTGTCATTGGTAGTAAGATACCTGAACAGTAACTGTTTTCTACTGTCTTTCACGACTGTCAGGAGAAATGCGGATATTTTCAAAACCCTATGTGGGATTTCAGCAGTCACGTACTTAACATTTGTTGTACTTGTATTGGGGCATTCAGTAAGCCAGGGGTTTTGTATTTTGTGTTTATTTTTCTAATGAAGGTAGTTTTCTTTGAAATGATGTTGTATAACTTTGGAAATTCAAGAGTAGGAATTTTTTTTTGTTGTTTCATAGATTTACAGGTCTATACTGTTCGGTTTACTTCTGCTGCTGTTTTCCCTTGTCAGCCTCTGCTGACTTAAATCAAACTGATACATAAAGTTACATTTGGAAAAAATTGAAGTCTCAAAATAACTTCCTACATGCTTTATGAAAATTGGTCATTGAACAGGTTTAAAAAGACCTAGAGTGCTCCTATAGAGGATAAAGCAAGCAGAACTCATTTGCTGATGCGCATCAGCATTTGTGTTCTAGCTGGCCAATACGACTCCAGACTAACCCGTAACATGCTGGTTTTTTGTTTTGTGGGGCCTGAGAAATTCCAATTACTTTGGTGGCAGGAGTTAATGGGATAAAAACCCATAGAAAACCAATTTTTTTAAACTTCTGCTTGTAGAACATGCTTTCTTGAGGGTCAGAATGATGTTCTAATTTCCTGCTTTGTGAAAGTACTGATGGAAGAGTGCTCAGTCGGGGTCATTGTCATTGCTCTGAGTTAGAAATCTTTGACTCCCCTGATTATCTCAACAGAAAATACTTTGTACTTCTTATCTGCTTCCCACTGCCATTCTCCGACGGAGGCAGTAACAGGAAAATAGCTAGTGTGTTTTTCTTTTAATGAGACATCAAGGAATGCAAGGATGTGAATTTCTAAACTTAGGTACTAACAAAGCATTTTGTCAAGCCTGTTCTAACAGCTGCTCCTATCAGATAGTCCGATTCCCAGTTGGAAGTGACCAGTCATGTTTGACTTGAGTGTAATTTATCTTTGGTTAGTGGGGAGGATGTAACTGCGCTTGCCTCTGGTGTACATGTGACACTAGAAATTTCTTTTGATTTATTTAAATGTCGTTGTTTTCAACAATTTGAGTTGTGTGTCTTGTATATTTAGTCCCTGACAGTTGCCATAAACTCACAATATGATGTAAAATGGAGAGGATGAAAAAGATTATAATCACATTCCTAAACTCATGTTTAGAAGTGAGTTCAATCCTAAATGAATTTTTAAATTTAATAGAGAAAATTTTGATTTCAGTTGCTGTAGTTTACCTGAGGATGCTTCCATAAGATCTGCAAATGTATGCAACTCTCTTAAATATATTTTTCTGCATGGAACTATATAGATATGGGGCTGTTATGGCTGACTACTATGACCTGACTGTTATGGCTAAGAAATAAACAAAGTACACAAATTATAAAGATGCAATACCCTAGTTTCTCCGCAAGCATTTTTAGACTCTTATGCTTGTGAAATTGTTTAATTTACTAATTACTTCTCATTCTAATTGGTCAAAGTAGTCTTATAGTATTGTCCAGAAAAGCATAACAGGAGACAGTCAGTTTGTAAAAAATATTTCACATTTTCTGAGGGAAAGTTACTGATTTGTTTATTTAAGATTAGAATTCTTAGTAATGTAAGTTTTTCAGTCTTATGAAGATTGATGAGGATCTTATCCTCATTAAAATTCATTTAATGGCTTTTTCATTCTCTAAAGATGAAACTGTTAGCCAATTATTTTCATTATATGAGCCAATTAAGATACCTGAAAATCAATAAGTAACTTTTCTAAATTTAAAGAGATATTCTTAAAAAATAAGAGAAATCAATACCTTTGCAGACCAGCCTGTATTGCCATGTCAATGGAGTTCAAATGCTGAAATAGTGCTACAGATAGATTTAAAATGTACAGATGCTATTCACTTTGATAAAGTTTCTATCTAAAATCACGTATCAACCTGGGGGGTGGGGGGAGCGGTGTTTTAGCTGTATCTTATTTTTACATGAACCATATACCTGTCAGAATGAATAGCAGTTGAAGCTTTGGAAAAATATGGAGAAGGCATCACTTTAAGAAATTGATTTTGTGCAATACACCTTTTACTGAATGAATACACTTCTTGACATTGAATGTGTGCATCTTCGACTTTTCAATTCACAGAATTTATGCTTGTATAAAAAATCTAAACCTTCTGGATTAATGGTTCTTAATAGATACTATATATTTGGCAAGAGATGCAGATCAGATTGTGATGAATAAATTAATATTTGAGCTCTGCATTCAGGAAAAATTAGTAAGAGAAATAATTAGGTGCATGATTTGGATAGCATTGTTGAAAACAGTATCAACGACAAGCAGTATGATTACATACCATTAGAATCCTAGGACCCCACTGCTGAGGTACAGGGCAGAAAAAAAGAGAGGAGGGAGAAAAATACATATCGATCTACTTTAGGTGACTAATGTAATTAGTGTGGTGAGGTGAAATGTGGCTTTCTGTATTCTTATCAGTATAGAATGTTTGCACATAACTGTGATATAAGGCATTAGTTCTGTAAATTTTAGAAATGAGTGATTCTCACTTGCATTTCAAACGTTCATAAAAGTTTTAAGGAGTGTTGTGCTGAATACACTATGTTGTGTTTTCTATACCTAGAATGAATTTTGTTTTGCAGTTCGTGGTGATTTTATTTTTAAATTAGGTGTTGAAAATGCAGGTCAAAAGTATGATATGTATAGTCAAGCTAGGAACTAGAAGTCCAAACTACACAAGTTACCAGAACGGTGGCAGAGTCGCGTGTAGTGATTAGTTTACACTTCAGATAAATAACTAGGCTCTAACTGGAAAATTTTGGCCTCTTTCTCTGCCTCCAGTTTCTTATGAAAGTTGAAAGCTAGATTACATATTGGGATGTTGGATATGTTATAAAAATCTTCAAATATTAAAGCCAGGAGGAAAGTATGTGATGTTATGTTGGTGGCGAATGAGTTAACATGAGTATTCTAATACGTTCCCCTTGGTTCTGTTAGCAGTGGAGCTATGAAAATGCAGCAATAAAATTAATCAGGTTAGAAAAGTTGGGACCCAGAATTGTCTTGTGTAAAGACTGAGAAGAGACAAAGTACCACAGTCAGGGTTTTCTATAGTAGCTGCAATGCAAAGCATACTAACAATTCCTGTACGTATGTATACAATACATTTTAACAATGAACTGTTCTGAATATCCTGTGTTGCTTCTGTTAGGAGAACCTCCATACTGTTGTAATGTATGTTACAGAATATCATCGTGCTTCTGTTGCATCCAGAGAAGCTCACTGAGTTCTCTGGGTGACTGACTTTCAGTCATCAAAGACACTAGATGCTCCTTGGAATCTGGAGTCTTAATCTATAAAGGCAGCATTTCTCATCCACATAGAAAATTTTTTTGGAATCACAGGTGTTTAGTAATTTGCTACTTGGAAGAGAAACTCGGATGTCCAAGGAAAGTGATTTTTTTCCTTTTTTTTTTTCTTCTTAGAAGTGCAACCTCCTGACATTGCTTGTCCTTTCTCTTAGATTATCTTACTCTTGTTTACTGCAGTCACAATTGAGAAGGAGAAAATTGGATGAATATTTAAAAAACAAACAAAACAAAAAACAAACAAAAACCCCCAAACCAAAACAAAAAACCAACCAAACAAAAAAACCAACCAGAAAATCCACCTCTCTATATTCCTGCCTCATAGAAATCCTTAAAATATTTACATTCTGAATTACCTAGAAGGGTAATTCAAAGATAGGAATGTGAAAATTAGGGTATATTCTGCAAGGCCTAAAGTAAGCATTACTCTGCCAAATTCTCCTGCCATAGTAAAAGGGCAGCCTGTAAGGCTCAGGAGACAGCTCTATCTGGTGGAACCGCTGTCAATATGTGCACTGACACTGTTGTGACATTGAGCTCATTGTCCAGGCTTCAGAAGGAAGAGGATATCTTCAGACACACAGAATCATAGAATAATAGAATAGAATCATAGAATAGTTTGCGTTGAAGGGACCTTTAAAGGTCATCTAGTCCAACCCTCCTGTCGTGGGCAGGGACATCTTCAACTAGATCAGGTTGCTAAGAGCCCCGTCCAATCTGACCGTGAATGTTTCCAGGAATGGGGCATCTACCACCTCTCTGGGCAACCTGTTCCAGTGTGTCATGTTCGATTGGACATGGGTCTGCTGACAAGTTTGAGCACTAGGCTTAAACATGTTCCCAGAACAAAGATGGAGACTGAGATCTGTGATAATTCCAACTTCTGTAGCACTAACAGGGCTCTGGGCACTGTAAATCTAAACAGACCCAGGAGCTGGATTAAGGTGTAGTCTGTGGTAAGGACTGATGTTTCTTTTTGACCAGTTCCTTCAAATCGCACAACTCTGGAGGCTGAGAGCAAACCTAAGTTTGTGGTGTTAGGTGTTTCATTTATTTTTCTTTTAGTGGCACTTCTTTTATCTTCTGTATGCTGTGGCATCCTAATGAAGGGCAACTCCTTTCCCACAGGTAACACAGTATTCCACCCTCAATGCTAATGAAAAAAAAAAACAACAAAAAAACACCAACCTTGCAAACAAACCAACAACAACAACAAAAAAAAAATCACAAAAAGTGTTGTGGTACAACACTTGATTATAATACCCGAATACATCCTTACAGTGTCTGACCCAGCCCCTATCTGAGTTTCAGCCTATGCTGAACTTGTATTCAGTACTGCTCTGGCTACAGCTGCAGTAGAATGTGCATACAAACAGCTCTGCAAAGAAAACATTCAAGCTATGTGCTTTACATTAATGATAACATTTTATGATGTATTGTCTGCATGCATATTTAATGCCCTTTGCAACTGAGATTCTGTAGCTGAGAGGAAAATGAGGATAAAAGGCTGAAGGGAAACCGAGGACTGAGACTCCTATAGATGTATGTATACAAATGGTATAAAACAGATGGGGAAATAGGAGTACCTACTTACTCCACGTGTTATTATTTTAATATTCAAGACTGACTATATGTGCAACCATAGTAGGATGCAGGTATAAACATTCTATGCAAAATACCTTGTTATTTTAAGAGAAAATAGATGGCTTTCAAGACTGAAGGTCTTGACAAACTTATGAACAGTAGGCACATGGTATTTACTTTATACAATTTTATATATTAAATCTAATGTTTTTTGAAAATATGCTAAAATTGAAAAACATGATGCTATGCATCTAGCTTAATTATCATTTTTTTTTAGTTGTAAAGATTTTTTAGAAAGAAGTTAAAACCTTACGTTTATAAGGTCATCGTTATGAAATGAAACTGCAAGATCATACTTTCACAGCCCACCACTGCCAAGTACAATGTTCTTCCAATGACAACAGTAATTTGCATAATTATTTCTTACTATCCAAACAATCTGAATTCTTATAAAATCAAAATTAGGCATTAAAAATATATAGTAATGTAACTTGCTTAATGGAGCTTTATGTATTGTATTAACTCTTTACTTATCTGCTGATAGTACAGTTCCACAAAAACTAGTAATCAGTCATTTTCTGAGCAGTGTTTGCCTGAAAGAGGTATCATATTTAAGCAAGGTATGCTCTCCTGACCCTGTTGATTGTTATTTCCAATCATTAAATGAAAACTGTGTCCTTTAAGATAGTTCTGATGACCTGTAGATGTTCATTGCTGCTTCAAATCAACCACAGTGTTGACATGTGTGCAGGCAGGTAATGACAAATGGCAACGAGATTACTTGCCTGTAACTGTTCTGTTAGAAATGTTATTTTAAAAACTGTAAACAATGAGTCATCCTGCTTTTCACAGACTGCCTAGAAATTGGGATTTGTGTGTTGGGATTTTCCAAGGAACCAAAAGGCAGGACCATAATCTTTGGGTTTAAAGGCACTTAAGCTCTGTACATGGACAGTGAGGTTTGAGGTGTGCTCTTACAGATACTGAGGCAAAAAAAAAATCTCTAACAAATAGTGCTTGTGTATGTCTCTTCCCCATGTGTGAATGTATGTATATGCCATACCTGGAAAGAGGCTTTCTTCTTTCAGGGAAACCTCTCTCTCTGTATAGATGATAAATACGATTTCATACCAGATTTTTTACTTTCTTATTTTTATGACAGCCCATGTCTGAAAAGTTGCTTATTTAATGTTTTAAATACCAGTAGGGCAAGCACTTATAGATCAGACAGAATTTTGACAACTGCATACATGTTAACATACCGATACACGTTTATCATATGCCAAAATAGGAATTCAAAAGTACAGCTCAGTACATTTGGGACCCCTGTTATGATATTATAAAAACAAAGTGTGTAGACCCACTGTTTCTCTATCCCCTTGCTTTACAGGGAAAGCTGCATGAAATCTTGATATGCTATGCTGCTGTTTTCCACCTGATTTCAACTGGTTTGGGTCTGTGCTTGCTTAACTTTTCTAAGCAAAGTGCAAACTATTTGCAAAGATTTATCTTATTTTCACAAATTGTAAAAATAAAACATTAAAATTCACATTTATGTTGATACATCCATGTCAAAGTTCATTTTTCCTGCTCATGCAAATAGCTTGTGTTGATAAATTAGTTGTGCTTCAAGATAAACATCTAAAACAAATGTTCCCATTTTTTTCATTTTACTGTAAGTCAATAAATTAGAGATTAAGATTTGGTTCTATACAGTGAAATGAATGTTTACAATTAATTGAACATTGTTTTCCATGTTTAAATTTAGACGCATATTTCATTAAAAAGTCTGTGGGAACTGTAGTTGTATTAATGAAGTGTGTTCTCTGGGGGAATTATACATAAATAACTATTTTTTTTAATGATGCAGGGTGAAATAGTACATCAATTTAGGCTGACATCCTCTATGGTGTCCCCAGAAAGACATGAAATGGGAAGTGATAATAGCATGTATAATCACATGACTCTGAAGAAATGATGACCCATTTTAGAAAATCTGTCAAAGGGTAAATGTAATGTCTGACTGTATTTTATCAGGCTATTTTTAACTTGTGCTACATTAAGAGTTTAAATCCTTACCTTTAAAGAGGCATTGTAATTTCTGTTTTTATTTGAAATTAAGCTCGTTTTGATAAAATTTTACTAGTTGTATCTTGCGAAATTTTTTTGGTTGGTTGTTTTGTCTTATGAATCAAGACTTTTTACAAGGTTAGGCCTGGTCGTTTTGCCTGATGAGCTTGAAAATGCATGTTTAAATAATACTGAAGCAGAATATATGTGGGTTTTTTGTAATGTATAGAACTGTAAATCTAGAAAGACTTCCCTGTTTTCATTTTGCCACCTGTGTGAGACTTACTCCTGACTATTCCGTAATGTGTTTACCTATTGTTTTATTATCTATATCTTAGTTGTGTCTGGAACAAGATAATTCATCCTACAGGTGAGCAACTGATTGTCCAGTGGATAATCCTACTCCTGTTTTGTATCATGGTATGAGTAGCAAGCTGGACTGATTGTTCTTGTCTGTAGTGTCAATCCTTTCTTTCTGTATTTTCTGGCAGTACCACGGTCTGTCACATGCAAGAGTGCACATGCAGTCTTCTTTCCAGGACAGCAAATGCTATCCTAAAAAGACTGGTACAATTTATTGCCTCCCAGGAGGTAATGGCCAGGTTTGGAGGGGGGGAAAAAACCCCCAACAAATCCACAAAGAAAAACCCAACCAACAAACCCAAGCCACCTACATCCCCCTGCCAACCTTGTGGAAGGACCTTTGTCTAAACAGTCATTCTATGTGCATCTGTAAAGTCGCTTATTCTTTCCTAGGCAAAGTGTTTTTCCCTTGTCCCTTCTGAATTGCACCCCGTTTATTTCAGACTACATCTCCAATTTGTTTCAGTTGTTCTGAAATCTAATCTTTTTTTCTAAAGTATTTCCATCCCTTGAAGCTTGATAATATCTTTGACTGACTATAGAGCAGGCCTATTAAATTAATCTAAGTCATTAATGAAAATACTGGATGGTATGAAAGCAGTCTAAATAGGCCTGAAATACAGAATACTAATGTGAAATTCTACGTGATGATCTTAATAAAATTCAATTTTGCTAGTGAAGCTTCAATAACTGGTTTCTGAATATGCTCTTGCAGAAGGTATATGGAGAACATTTTTCCTGACTTGCTTATGAAACTGTCCTGAGAAATATCATCAGCTTCGAGATAGGCAGCGCTTGTTATTTTTAAAATGTGTGGTTTCAATTTCATTCAGTATCGAAAGATCAACTAATGTTGGCTCTGATATGCTTGCTACATTTTCAAACATCTTTGCACTTTGTTCTAGAAACATCTACCAAGCTGCTGTATTCTCTTTGCATTCATCAGTGCTTTCCAAAATACTCTTATTCAGCATGTTGCTTCCATAAAAGCAACCAGCATAAAACTGGGTAACAACTAGCTCATGTACTACAGGTTACTTTTGTTGTGGTGAATGCTATTCTTTCCTTGCCAATTTTCTTTTTCCTCTCATCTGTTTATATTCATCTCCTTACATCTTACTATTTGCTTTTTTCCATGTTTCTCTAGTGTGTAACATATAAGGATCCTGGTCAATGATTCCTTCTCAAACTTAAAATATGAATAATAACAAGAACAACCAGAAGAGGAACAAATGCAGAAAGTAAAATACAGGATAGAGTAACCATGTATTTTATATCTTGTGTTGAAATTCTTTACCATTGCAGAGGGGGAGATTCTGTAGGCTAACAGGGCTTTCCCTGGTAGTCAAGGAGATCTCTTATGCTATTCATATTTTAGATAGAAATGTGGTTTAACATTGCTGTGTGTTGTTTGATAAGGTTTCATATTGTATATCTTTAGAATTGGAATTTTTATATTTTGCTATGATGATTCCAGGTGTTAACATCGGACCTGGAAAACAGGGAGAAGCAGCAGGAAAAAATGCTGGACCAGCTAAAGGAGATAGAGAGTTGCTACAAGGCTTGTGAGAATGGACGTAGACAAACTGAACTCCAGTCTGCTGAGTTAGCTCAACAGGTTGAAGAGAGTACCAAGGAAGCAGAACGGTACCTCACTGAATTCAAGCATTCAGAGGCACTTAGGCTGGAGACTGAGAAAAAAAGAGAAGATTTGAAGGTGAGAGCGCAGGAAACCATCCGCCAATGGAAGCTGAAATGTAAGAAACTGGATCGCGAGGTGGAAAAACAAAATGAAACTATCAACCAACTGATGGACAAGAACAGTGAGGTAAGATTGACTAGCTTGTTTTTTTTTGTACCCTTTCCATTTGCTTTAGAAATGAAGATAAGGGGTTTATTTATGCAAACTGTGACTTAAACCACTTTCTGCCTTAAGTTCTGGACCAAATTTTCTGGTGAACTACAAAACAGCTAATAGGTGGCAATATTTTTTAACTATTACGGAGTTCCACATTCTCTTCTTTATCCAGTATTTGTTCCAGTCTCTTCACTTAATCAAAGCTTTTTTCTTGTAAAGAAGTAAGTGTCTCTATGAATGTTGCTTTTACTTTATCTTTTCAGTTAACCGTTAACATAACTTAGCTTATTTTTAGTTAATTTTTAAGGAAATAATGTGGTGTTATTTTTTGTAGAAAATTTTAATCACATTAATAACCCATGTTCAAGTTATGCATTGTTTCCTGTAGAGGACAGTGGTCACATCTTTGAAAGTAGGTGTTTACTTTCACCATGTATGTCAGATAGCTATATGGACTTTGGCACAGCTAGCATATTTTTAATTCCATTCTGTATTTAAGCTTTTCTCAGACTCTAGGCTTAGTAATGACATCTTTTATTGCCAATAAAGACTACAGGTTCTGATATGTCATAAGGACTGCAACTCAGTTTCGATTTGATGTTTGGAGGCAGAAAAGTAGATGTTTTTGTTTGAAAATGTGCAAAGATTTTAGCAAAAAAGTCACTCTTCCCTGCTTTTGGGATGAACATGCTGCTACCACCTACCATGCAGTTCCTAGGTTTTTCCGTTCATCTGGATAGGGAGTCTGTGTTCCTTATATTTTTGTAACTTCTTTGTTTTTTAATGCTTTTCATATTTTGTTTCAGCCTCTTCCTTATATTTTTCAGAACTTCTTATTTGAAAAAATCAATTTGAAAATTGATCATGTAACATTCCTGGGCTTTTCATTTGTCTTTGTTCAGTGTGGCAAACCTCTCTTCCTCCTCCTATAAAGTTTCTCAGGAAAACACATTGGGTCTTCTTTTTTTTTGACTTAGCAGAACTCCTTGACTTTTTCTAGTCCTGACACTGCTTTAAAGACAAGCACTTTCATCAAATAATGCTGATCATTCCATCTTGGAATAATAGTAGAAACCATCATTCTGTTTGTAATGAGTCTGTGGGTCTTGGTATTTTCCAGTGGCTGGGTCAAAAGGTGCCTGCTCCTATAGTGGCTGGTATAGTGCTAAGCTTCATGCTGCGAGCTTTTATCTTAACTTACGTGCTCTGCTGGTGCAGTCTATCGTATTATATGGCCTACTTTTGATTTTATAGAGCTTCCCTCACCTCTTTTTACTTATTTTCTAGTGATGCGCATTCAATTTAGGTTACTAAATCTGATGGGCTTGGGCTGGCTCTATGCCATTCTCTGCTTTGTCCTGCTCAAAGATTGTAGTTTTCAAAGGGTATATGGTGTGAAGTATGGGACGTCTGTATTCATCCTGTGTTGTTCCTGATCCAGTAACCTGTCTGAGACTGGTACATGAATGTATGAGCATGGTCAAAGCACAGGAGAAGCCATAATGAGGCTAATACTGAGTTGAAATTAATAAACTCTAGCAGATCTAAGCTGGGCTTGCTGTTTCTCTCCTGAACTACCTAGCATATTCCTTGTTTTTTATTATTATTATTTGCTCTATCCATGCTCCAACAATTCATTCCATAGTTATCTTGTTGTATTGGTCAGCCGCAGCAGTTGTCTGAGGAAATAAGGTTTGCAAACATTTAAGAAGTTAATCATCTCTTGCCTAGGTAAGGTGTTAAGGAAAGGAAGAAAACCTGAATCATTTAGAAATCGTATGTCTCTCACAATAGACAAATGAGAAGCAAGAAGTAGAGGAGAGTTGTGAATAACAAGTAGGAGGAGCCCCAAAAGGCTCTGAAATCGCTGTTCATGTGAACACATGGACAGGTCTTTGTAATGGCAATTGATAGTGCTGTCCACATTGAAATTTTCTTTGTTACATAAGACTCTTTGACGTGGATTTTGCCTCTTTTGATGTGATAAAAGCATAAAAATGCTAAATACAGTTACTTTGGTTTAAGCTCCATTTAAGAAAGGCTGTCAGTATTCGTTCTTATTTTTAAAATCATCAGCATCTTGCCAACAAGTTTGCCGTAAGTGTTACTCCTGAAGAAAATCTCTTTATTGGAGGATATGTAATATCAAATAAACTGTGTGTCATTGTGGAGGAGAAAAAAATACAAACAATATTTAATGTTCTCAATACAAACTTGTAGACACTTTCCATATGAGGATATAATCAATCTAGATGCAGCGTTTGTGATAAGCTTCAGGGAACTAGATGAACATAATTTAACCGGCTTTGAAATACGCAGACAACTAACGTCTGAGACAAAACTCTCTAAAAATAAATAATAAAGTTACTGGGATAATTTGGTTAAAGTCTTGCCTAGATGGTTATCCTTGATGTAATTACAAATTGTTTTATTTTTAAGCTGCACACTGTTAACCTTAATTGCCTTTTTCTTCTGGATTATTTCAACTAAATTTGCTGTATCTGTAAGAAATGTGTACTGTTTGTGGAATTAGTGGAAATAGTCAGTAAAATTCAGTATAAAATTTATTTAAGCCAGTTTGAAGAATCCAGTAGCTTGTGATACATCAGGACAATCTTGTGTTGTCCCTTTATCATTCTTTTTTTCCTATAGTAGTTGTGTGTGACTTATGATAGATGTACTGTAAATTTTTCTTATTTTAAACAGAATGTTTAAAAAAAAAAAAAAAACTTGAGATAAGTAAGAGTCAGGAATGGTGTGTGTAATGTGAATTTAATGAAATGTAGTACTTGGTAACACACATGTACTTGCAGTGCAAATTTTTCCTGTCATTTAGCACATTTTCTAGGATTTTTTTAACTTGAAATATATCAATGTTGAAAAAAACCCCCAACCTTTAAGCTCCTTAGGAAAACAGTGGAATTTTTATTAAATGTGGCTGACTTTTATTTTGAAGATGAAGTCTTCATTTCTTGGCTTTGATGCATGAGTGAACTAGGCTTTTAACTGCTATTCATTCATCTACTGTGTGCAGTTTCAAAAATAATCTAAAGTTTATATACTTCATATGTAATATTTTAGAAAACAAGCAAAAGTCAGCCTATGAAATGGACCTATAGGTGAGGTGTGTGTGTGACCAATAGTCTTCCCTGTATTCTGCTGCATTACTGTATTGCCTCATTTCCTCCATCCTCCTATTTGGAGGAACCAGCAAAGAAACCCATCTTAGTCTGCAAAGAGGGTGAGAAAAGCAGGGGATTAACCAAAACTATCTCTGCTTAGGAAGCTAGATCATTTAAAGACAAGTATACGTTTGAGATCACAAATGTTCCGTGTCTAAATTTAAAGAAACACTGAATACATTTGAACTGAGTTCATAACAAGCAAAAACTTTGTATTTTCACAGAACAAAGTGTGCTAATTGCTTTTTAGGCATTCATAATGTCTAGGGACATCCTTCCAACAATTTTCTTTAATTACTTTAGGTTGCACTGGATTTTTTTTTCATCTTTTCTAGGCCCTCAAAGAAAAGGATGACCTCAGAAGTCAACTTCTCTCTGCTATACACCAAATAGAAAACCTTCGGAAAGAGCTGAATGATGTGCTTACAAAGAGAGCCCAGCAGGAAGAACTCCTCCGCTGCAAAGAGGTAAAACTGAATGAAATGAAGTCTCACCAGGTATCTCTTGAAGAAGAGATCAAAGAAGTTCAAGGTACTGTCAATAAATTGGAGAATGAGTTAAAAAAGCAAGTCTTTCTACAAAATCAAATGCAAGCTGAAAAGGAACACTTGGAGGCAGAACTTGCATCCAGTAACTTGATCCATAAAAAAGACCAAGAAAGACTCTTAGAAATGCAAGCAGATGTAAAAAACTTAAGCTCTATACGTGTTGAACTAACAAACAGAATAGCAGAAGAGGAGAAAGTCAAAAAGGAATTACATAAGAGCCTCTCAGATTTTAGGAATCTAAGCATGAAGAGATGACTTCAGCTAACAGGCAGCTGAAGATGGAAAGAGAAGTTCACCAACAGGAGTTGGCAGATCTCAGATCAGAGTTACAAAATGTTAAAATCAAACATGAACGAAATGTTCAAGAGCTCATGAAACTCCTTAAACAAGAAAAGGATGATGCAGAGGCTCAGATTAGAGTGCTTAAGGTACTTATTCTGAAGAATTCCAATGTCAGACTTTTTTTTCTCTCTCCTATTGAGTGATGAAGGCAATAAAGCATGGGCTTTAAAACATTTAACACACGTTTTATTGCAGGTCATCATAAAAGTTTAAAGTTTAGTCTAAAAAATGTTACAGTAACGATTTTAGGTCAAAAGCTTTTCTTAGTTCAAAAGTAGTGAAATAGGTGTGTCTGTGATCAGAACACGAGATATATGAGGCTGTAGTGTTTTAATATGATTTGATCCTTTCTTCTTGAACTGTTATTTTGACAATTATTGTCACAGCCCTATTAAAGAACTTGTAGTATTTCAGGGATGATGCATTTTGTAAATGTTTAAATTGCATGATGCAGAAATACTGTCATTGTATCTGGGAACGCTTTCAGAATGTGAATAGTGATAATGTATAACACTTATTAAGGTTAATTTTGATAGTTCTCTATATTTCAAAGAATTTTTAGAATTTCTAGTTTCCGTACAATTTCTCAGAAAAGTGACTATGTTCATATAGTAAATGATCAAATATAGCATTTTATTAATGAAGAAAGAGGTTAATGTTTTTAGTTTGCATCATTTGCTCCTGATTCAAGGCTATTGCATTGGAAAGAAAAAGAGCATTTTATTGGCTTTAAGCGGTCTGAATAAAATGGAAAAGTTAAGTTGAAGTGGTCTAAACTGCACAATTAACTGTCAACAGTTGTATAAGCTATACATTGCACTTTTATTGAAGCAATTTTGATTACATGGTTAAATATATATGTAAGATAGTATTTTGTATGTCCTAATAATAATTTGTGTAATCGTATTAACGGAATTAATAGGTAGGTTGTAAATTACCAACGTATTTTGAGTGCACTTCTGAAGCACTATAAATACGCTTTCCACCTCAGTCCCATCAAATAAAAAATTTGCTCATGTCAAAATTCTACTGATTTAACCATAAAAAGCTATAAAATCCTTAATCAAAGCTTAAATTATTCATGATCTACTTCATCATAAGTAATATAAGCATGTTTATTTCCTTTCTCTTCTCACAAATATGCAACTAGTTAAAAATACATATTTTCCACATTTTTTCAGTTATGAATTGGTGTTACTTAGAAAAGGATGGTTAGTTTTTTTAATATATCATTCATAACATAATAATTGACAATAATTCTTAAGCACTTGGTAACATAGAAAGCATTTAATGAATATAGCAATAAAAATAATCTAGGTGGTTGTTAGTGGAAAGATCATTAAAATCAAAATATTTTGACAGCGGTGCTTAACATTGGGGATGTAATTTGTAATGTGTCTAGCATTATTTAAATGATCTGTCCAACTATGTTTGTTTTCTTTGACAATGACCTTGAAATTAAGACTGTACATTTAATATCAAGGGGAGAGAAGGAAAGTGTGTTCTGGATCGTGATAATCAAAAAATGAGTTGATCGTCAATGTGTGTTTCCTCTGTGGAAAGGTCAGTCTTATAGTAAGGGCCTTGATATTGGTACTGATTGTTGTACATAAAAACAATATTTAAAAAAATTCACTTCCTTCTTTCATTTACAGTGCCATGACTTTCCCAGATTCTTTAATCTGCATGCATTTTTTTTACAGCTTTGTGTCTCTGAAACAGAGAAGAGCAGGGGGCTTGAGGGAGATGAATTTTGTAAGGTGTTAGGGTAGGCAACTTTTTTTTAGAAGCACACAAAATTATAATGCACAACATTCTCTTGATTTAAAGACTGTAAGTGCAACAAAATAGGTAATCATATCCGTCTGTAGGAAGATCTGATGAGATCATGTCATCGTGCAGGTGATTTGGTTACTTTTTGTCTAAACTCATTACATTGCAATTGGGTTTCACTTTTATGGACATACTTTTCTTCCAAATTAAGGTAAACTTAGCATGCATTTTATCAAATTGTATTTAAATATTGTGGTTTTAGGGTAGAGTTTAGGGAAATCCAACAGAAAGGGGGTTTTTTCCTATTATCCTTTTTTTTCAGGCTGGTAAGTTTTTGTGCCCAGTAACCAATTGTCTTTTACTGTTACAGTAATAATCTTGACCTTATTTATGCCTCAGCCCTGTCCACCCTCTGTAACTGCTTTTGGGAAAGAATATACATCAAGGTTTTTAATGTTAAAGTCTTAAAAATAAAGGTCAGTGGGGAAAGACTTGGGGAGTAAAAGGAAATTTAACACATTTATTAAGACCCAAGGCCTTAAACTTAACTAAAGGAGGAATTTTGATGAGTTACTTTCAGGAAATCAAGAGTGCAGAGCCCTGTGTTTACAGAACCAACTGCTGCATAGATTGTAAAAAGAAGTGACTTTTGATCCTTATTGTTCTTCCCTCTCGCCTCCTTTGTATGATACTTTCTGCTTCACTCATGCTGGCTTTCTATAGTGCTGCGCTGGACTGAAAAATTATAAGGTAGTTAAGGATTTTTTGGGGTCGTCGGGGAGGTACCATGGGAATATTGTATGTTGCAGTAGAACTGGAGAAGAACATAGAATTTTGTACAAGATGTCAGTGTTGAGAAGGATCTTACTGTCTCAGTACTGAGTTTCTGATGCTTAAGCTTTTAATTCTGTTTCTGCTAGAATATCCTAAAGGATTCCCAATCAATGTCTCTATAATGTCTTTTTTTATTATTTAAAATGATAGATAAACTAGATAAACTAGAAATTAAGTGGTTTTCTTAGTGGTGCCCAATCAGCTAAGTGTTCAGAAGCTCTGAATCTGTCCCCTAATTTTACTACGTGCCCTCACTTGCTTTAAAAACATCCTTGTTCTCTTAGAGTAATGAAATACAAAATGTCCTTGTGCCTGACAGCACTTTCAAGTATTAATCTTTAATGTAAGATTATATAGAGATATGTATCTATATATATAGAATTGTGTATATATGTGTATTTCTTTTTAAATTGTTTTCTGTACACATACCAAGTGGGTGTAGTTCTTCTTCCTGAAGATTATCAGATGTGGAAAATAGGTTCAATCCAGATCAATTAAATTATGGTCACATCTGCCTTGTCCATACTGGAAATTAATAAAAATTAACTTTCTCCATTGTGTCTCAAAGGTAATATAAGTGAAGAATTTGGTTCTTGGATTGTCTCCATCTGCATAGACATTATAATACAATTACTTTTAGTAGGAACTGAAAAGTTGATTTTATAAGCGTATTCACAGAAAATGTTTTAGGTATTGCAGGCTTGTCTTTGTGGACTTAGGACACCAAAGTTCTTTCTTGGAATTGTCCTTCGGAGGAGCTTTTGTACTCTGTTAGCTCTGGTGTCTAAATTAACTCATAAAACTTCTCTTCTTACCCTTCTTCGCCATAAAAGTTATATTTATAGTGTAATTGGGAGAATAGAATTTTTGCTTTTCCTCAGGAAGGAATTTACTCTGCAGGTTTATTTTTGTGTGTAACTGCATCCCACAATTCATCTAATATGAAGCTGGTTTCGAGTAATACATGTGTAATTTCCTTCTTTGTTTTGTGTATTGTTTTGCATTTTCTAGATGTTCTAGAGAATTTCTCAAATCTATCTGTTTCAACCAGTTATCTTTTCCACTGGAAATCAATGTACTTTATTCACTCACCTATTTAGGGCTTTCAAGGCCCTTAAATGTTTTCTTCTTTTTTCTCTGCAATGTTTCTATGAATAGCATTAAAACCACACAATTCTAGAAATTAAAAATACCAAATCTTTGCAGTTATTTCCTTGCAGATACAAATTTAGTATTAGGTTGTGAAATGAAATGATAGTTTTAGACTTTCTGATTCCAAATTATTTCGATAATGGAAAAGTTGCATATATACAGGGCTTCTTAAGATGATGTAAGCTGATGAGTGTAGCAGAGTTGAAACGTAGAATCTGAGACTTCTATTTACTGCTTGTAAAACATTGTGTGGTTCTACAACTCTGATACATGTTTTCCGTGTTCAGATAAGTGATTACACTTAATATAACTGAAATGTTAAAAATTAAATAGAATTACCTTTCTGTAATAGTGTTCCGCAGATTTGAAACTCTACAGTCTGGGAATGTTTTAAAATAACCCATATGGTGACTTTGTAATCTATTTTCCCATTACCGTCAGATGGAACTTGTAGAAGAGAAAAACATAGTCAAGGCTCAATGTCGACAACTGGAGAAGATAAAAATTGAGTGTGATAAACTGACAGAAGAATTAACCCAAAATGAAGAAGAAAATATAAAACTCAGGCGGAAATGTGAGTTTGTAAAACAAGAACTGGAGAAAAAGGTAAACTTACCTGGTTTTAACGATGATTCGTCAGTCTCGCTGCTGATAAATACCTAAAATAAATAATGAATTATAGAAATAGGTGGTAAACTTAATATGTACATGTATTTTTTGTATTTTAAAGAATATACACAGTCATACTGTAGTACACAGTTTCTATATAAATCAAAGAAGGCAAAAGTGCTTTAGCTAAGTCATGAATTGCATCCCTCCAAAGATTTGCTAATACTATTTAGGAGTAGAAATATAAGTCCTGTTGCCTGCCCTGTTTCTAATATAGGTAACTAACAAATGTTTAACCAAACACTTCTGGTTTTCTTTACGTTTTCTTAAAGTTGCGGTGCAGTTATGAATAATTTAGAGCTAATTTGAAGTAGATAACCAATGTAAGCACAGTAAAAGAAATTCTAAATAACTTTGAAAATTATTTTCTGCTTGAATATTTAAAACACAGCAAGTTTTTAAAGAAATTCACATCCCTTTCTTGTACTGGCATTGTACTTCTAGAGATGAATGCTGCCTGCCAGCCATTTTTGTTGCCTAGTGTTCTGGTTATTAATATTTACTATCAAATATTAATTTGCAGTCTCACAACCTGGAGTTGTCAGCCTTTCTTTTCAAAAATCTAGTGATAAATACAGAGTTGCTGAATAATTTTATTTTGTACCTCCTCTTTCTGCTTTAAGTTCTACTTTTTTTCCATGACTGGTTCCACAGTATTGCTTTTAATATGTTTTTCTTAACACGAATGTATTTTACATTGTGCTCTTTTTATATCTTAAATTTTTCTTCCTGCAGCATTGTGATTTCAGATAAGTATTTCTGTACATGGATGAAGTTTTACCTTCTCCAGTGTAAAGCACATATCTGTCGTTATTTGATTAATTCATATTAAGACAACATTGAAAATGATTGTTTCTAATCTTCGACAGATTTGATTTCCTAGATTAAAATTCAAGAAAACAGAAAAAAAAAATTTGTGCATCTTGCAGGAAATTGCTTATAAATTTTTCATTATATCCTCATTTTTAAAAAATGGATATTTTAGCCTCTAGCTGAAGATTCTTGCTGTTGTATGTCAATTTAGTAATTTCTCATCCTTGTGAAAAGAAATTTTTTGATACAGGCATTTATATTAACATGGTGCAAGAGGTTTGTTCATTCATTTCACATGGACCGCTGACTACTCATCAGATAATTCTTCATTAGCTCAATAGTTTCAAACTGTTTAAATCCGATAAGAGGCCCATGGATGTTTTAGATCCTTCACGGCTTTTCAGGTTTTTCAATTTAATTTTCAACTTGTATTTTGTTATAAAGGAAGTGCACAACATCACTTAAGTGTTGAGTTTAAAATCTACTGGGCTTATTTTGAATGTAGGTAAAGTAAAATGAGTGTTCGGAAATGCTATTAGTTCCTTTTGTCATACCGCTTATATTTTCAGCATATACAGACTGTCTGTCAGTCAGTATGCTGCAGCTACTAGCCCTGAGAGAAAAATGTTGGGGTGGGTTGGTTTGTCTTTTTTTTTTTTTTTTTTTTTTTTTTTTTGTAAAAGTATGGAATGAGAAAATCTTAAACCTGGCATTTCTCTTAGCTTGTTAAACTAACAGGAAGTGCTTTATATAAGCTCAACTTAATGACTCGTCAGACTAATAAAAAGTACCTCAAATGAAAATTCAAAATGTGTTTTTTCTAGGTTGGGATTTTAGTGCTGTAATATCTATTATTAAGGAAATGTGTTTGTAGCAGTGTACAGAGTTTTCTGCAGTTGGTTGTAAACTAGCTCTAACCTTACCTCATATTGGGAAGATACAGTTTTTAGATGGCAATGATATTTTATCTCTAAGCTGAAGAAGAATGGGGAAGCTTTTAAGCACACAATCCTGTGGTCTTATCCTTTGAAGGTAAATGCAGATGGAGAGTTTCACTTGATTGCGTTGATCAGTTAACTTGAGAGAATATTCACTATTGTAGTTTTATTGTGGATTGTCAGAAGGGGTGTTAGGATGGGGGAAATGGTAATATTACCTCTTGAGAAATCTCATACTAGCTGTCATATTGTGGTATTGCAGAAGCCAACTATATTACAAAAGAATTATCTCTTTTCCTTTTCCACACTTTTTATACTTCTTAATGTCGTTCTGTCCTTAGTGCAAATACTAATTCAAAGAAACATAGGTATTATAGATAGCTTGGATTTTAATTTTTTTTTTTTATTAGGAAAGGTGAAAGGGCAGAGAATAATGGTAAAATTTTCTCTTTTTTTTCTTTTCCTTCTGTGCACTTCTGAGTTATTAGTGACTTCATTTCTCCTGTAGGCTCTGAAAATAGAATGTTGAGGAGTGTTGGCACATTCAGAAAATCAAGCAGATGAAAAATAAAGGAAAAAATACTGAGTTATATACTCTCTTTTAGTCATGGTCTTTGGGAGTGAACTTTGGCATGTGATGGACTGTGTTCAGTGGATAATGAGATAGCATAGAATACTGACACTGGAAGCATATATAATGCAATCTTATTACCTTCAGAATACTGATCTAGATCAGAACTGCTATTTCAGCTCCCATATGGGTAGTGCAGAAATACTGGAACCTGTGCATATTAAAAATTCTTATGATTCCTTCAGTTTGAAATAGTTACTGTCTAACTCAAGTATTTTTGTATGAATTAAATGAAGAAATCAGGCTACTTATCAGGTATGGCTTTTTCACATTTGAAGGTCACCTATATTAAAGAATACCTATTTTGCTAATAGATGTAACAGCTATACGTATATATGTATACAACCTCCTGAAAGGAGATTGTAGCAAGGTGGGTGTGGGTCTTTTCTCCCAAGTAACAAGTAATAGGACAAGAGGAAAAAATGGTCTCAAGTTGTGCCAGGGGAGGTTTAGATTGGACATTAGGAGAAATTTCTTCACTGAAAGAGTGGTCAGGCCTTGGAAGAGGCTGCCCAGGGAAATGGTGGAGTCACCATCCCTGGAGGTATTTAAAAGACGTGCAGATGTGGTGCTTAGGGACATGGTTTAGTGGTGGACTTGGCAGTGTTAGGTTTACGGTTGGACTCGATGATCATAAGGGTCTTTTCCAACCTAAATGATTCCTTAGTATCCCATTCACAGAACTTGTATGTTAGAAATTACCTAGCTCCACAGTGGTGTCTCATGAGTGTATGAAGATTTCCATTAAATACAATTTAAATGACAGTTGCACCTTGTCATTGCAGAGGTCCATGATTAATAAATTTTCAAAATTATTATTCTTGCTTTTCTCACCATTCTCAGTGTACTTGCATACTGAAATGTGCCTGTTAAAGCGTTTACCCTTTGCTGCATTACATCTTCCTGATCTTAGCAGCAGACAGATGTGAACCAATTTCACTTCTCACAAGATAGTTTTGTTATATTAATTACAATGCATAGTTCAATATATTGTATAACAAAACTGCTGCTGGGTTCAGTTTTACATGGTGGCTCTATTATAGATATAAAGGAAGAGAATCTGAATTTTAAGATGATGTATAATATATTTAATGATCTTCTTGACATTGGATGGTAACATAAAATGCTTTACTCAGTGCCAGTCACTGTCCTATGAGATATTCTTTAAATTATTTTCCTTTGAGAACACACTGACTGCCAATACAGGTTTCCTTCAGGAATCTCTTTTTGTGATGACAGAGACTAGATGTCTGTAACTGGTTCAGGGCAAAAGATAATAAGGGGAGTATTTGTCGTGGGCTCTCTTTCTACTCCTGAAAAAGAGATTTATAATAGAATGTCTGGGTTTGGCTCTGAAAACAAGTTCTATGATTGTTGGGTTTGGATTTGGTAGCAGTTTCTTCATAACTGATTTACAGAGAATAAGGACAATCAAGACAGAAACTTATGAGTACTATTAGAAGGTATTATTTTCCATGGCAAGGAACTGAACTCAGTGCATGAGTGAGTATAGTGTGATTATAAGATTGAAAGATATACTGCTAATGATGTATGTTATATTAATGCAATAATTTCTTTGTTTTGTTTTTCCTGTTTCACTCCAGGATAAACAGATCAGCAATGAAGATGATCATTTGAGAAGGATGGATGAGGCCAGACTGCAGTTTAAGGATCAGCTGCGTCACTTAGAAATGGAACAGGAATCCATTCTCACCATGATAGGAAGTGAAATTGATGCTGCTTGTGAAATTTTTTCTCGGGACTCCATGGAGAAATTCAAAGTAATTCTAAGTTTTAAGTATGCTGCAGGTTTTGTTATTTTCTTAATGAACGTTTGTAGCAGAATTTGTATGCATTGTTGTCCCCTATCAATTAACTGGTATAGATAACGTATGGACAATAGGATTATGGATATTTAGCTGGTACAGATGTACATTGCTAGGTATTGGAATGGGGTACTATGAAGATCTGCGCCTGTGTTAATCGTTACTGCTTTCTTTTGCCGATTTTTTTGTGAGAAATAGTTCTCCTTTTGTTTGCTTATGTGAAAGGACCTTACATCAGCCAGAATTTTGAGGAGGTTTTCCTAGGCCACCTCCTTAGAGGTGGGAAGTCCTCAAGAAAGACCTAAAAGGCTTTTAAAATTGGGGAAAAATGAAAGAAAGGTTTTATTAAAAATTCATTTAGATGCTTTGTTTATTAAGTAGAGAAGTAAATGCTGGAAGTGAAAAGAGTTTATAACCTCCTCTTTTGTGGAACAGGTCCTTGTATCCTTGTATCCAGAAAACTCAGACTCAAAGTTTTAGGAAACTTTTAGCTTGCTGTAACTTTTTTTCACTCTTTCACTTCTTCTCTTGCAACCCTTGTCTCCCATTAGTTTTTTTTCCTGAGCATTCTCATTTGTTCCCCAGGGACTGAACCCTCTCTTCCTCCCACCAGATGATTCTACATGACTAATCCTCTTAAATTGACATTGTACACAGCTGAGAAAAAAGAAAATGGACAATCTGACTCAGCTTGTCATCATACTCACTGGCATTATGGGTACTTATATCACAAGTGCTTGACCTGGTGGCTTTTTAGCCTTAGCTGTAACCATAGAGCATGCTCAGATTACGCCTTTTTTGTCTTGCTGTTTAAACAGAGAATGCATTCTACTGTACAGTTCCTGGTCACTTGACTGGGCTGGGCTGCTTTTGAAATAGAAGTTTTTCAGCTTTGACACTGAAAATACATTATATTTTTAATATTTTTTTCTTTGTTTTATTTTCTATTTTAAGTTTATCTCCTCACCTGTTTTCTTTGAAGGTGTGGAGAGAAGTCACTTTGTTTCAGCCTTGTAGTATGGCTGTGCCTTTTTTTCCGCTTACATATGGAGTTGGGATTTTGCAGCACACAAACAGATGAGAATCCTAATAAAATGTATTTGACAAACAAGATTTCTCCTCTGTGTCCTTACAGATAAGTCTTTTTTTTATTAAGTCTTTGTGATCTGCTGTAGTTGCCAGATTCTTGATCATCAAACCCTGCCTTCTTGGACTTGCTTCCCACCTCCTGCAGAGTGTTTGTCTTCTGGATGAAGTTTTGCTGATCCCTGTTTTCACAATTCTCTTATTTATCCCCTTTAACTGTTTATCACTGGCAAAGTTAAAACAGATTTGAATCTGAATTTTTGACTAGACAGCTAATGTGAAAACAAATGTTACACAGTTTTGTGGTGCCTGGTCTGAAAATTTTTTTTTTGAAAAGGTAAAAAGTTTCCTTTGTTACATTGTTCTTCTGCCCAGTACTTTAGGTATTGGCAACGTTTCTAAAATGTTTCAGACAAGTTCTTTACTTCAAGAAGGAGTTGCCACTGCAACTGAGGTGAGCAATGAGGAATTTAATGGATAAATACTTGTATTCGGAGGACTTAAACACCAGGCTTAATCTTCCTTAATGAAAAATGTACTGGATTTTTTATAATCACCGCGTACTGGTGTTCTAAGAAAAGAATTCCACATGTATTGTTCAGATTTATTTTTTCAATCAGTCTTTTGTAATAAGAAATCTCATGCTTGCAATAACTACACCAGTCATGCTTAAACTATAAACTGAATACTGCCTTCTTTGAATGTGGTTGCACAGAATGAGGTTTGCTGCCATGGAAGTCACAACTTTCAGGTATGCATTGCTTTGTGAAGTCATGGCCAACATGCCTGCTAAAGCATTTCTTTTCAGCTTTGTCCTTATGTGGTGATAATTTTCACATAAAACATATGTATGTGCATAATTAGATGGTGCTGTTTAGGCACCTTTGGTGCCAACTGAATTGCAAAATGCGGTAAATTAAAAACAAACTAACTAACAAAACCCCCACAAAACCTTTAAATTAAAGAAAAGCACAATGTAGTCATCATGGGATAGGACCACATGAGATAAAGGGTGAGCTGGACATAAGGTTAATAGTTTACTTGATTTTAAATAGATTTCAGTTGAGAGCGTTGTATATGAGACTTTTTTTTCCTTCCCCTTATGTATCAACTTGTGGGGGAAAAAAAGATCCACTATCACTAACTTTTTAATAATTAATATACAAAACGTATAGAAGTACCTTTAAAACAAGATTAACATAGTTCAGTTTGAATGCGGAAAAAAGATATATCACATTTTCTCATTAAGTATTAATGAAGCATTCCAGCACAAGTTTATCTTCTTTTTATCCGCTTAGTGCAGATTACAATTTTCGTTTTATGCCTATCAGATATTCAAAGCAAGTGGTTTGTATTTTTCATGAAAATGCTAAGACCATCATCATAAGCATAATATAAAGATTTTGGGGGTTTGTCCTTTTTTTTTTTTGATAAGACATTTATGTTGCACATAGCATTTCTGTAGATATACTGATAACAGTTCAATGACTTAACAGTTGGTTCGGCTACTTCTGGTTTACGTGCAGCCACTGTTGTTCTGCAGAATGGAGGAAAAAACAGTTGAATGACTTTGAAGTTGGCCTTTTCTTAAGAAATACTAATTTCAAAATAGAGTCTGATTGTATTATTTTGCAATATTATGATATTTTCAAAAAAGGACATACAGTTTCGAACTGAGAATATACACCTCGATGCAGAGTTATATGTTCTGGGGATGTAGTGATTCTTAGGAGAAAACTGTACAGATTCAGAATACAGCTTACTATTGTTGCAACTTAAGTTGCACCTTTAAACAAAATTTGTATCAGTGAGTTTGCATAATTTGCTTTTAAATGTGACTAATTTATGGTTAAATAATTCTATTAAACCATTTACAGATATGATTTCCAAGCTGGATTTTTAGCAAAGAATATTTATTTGATGAATTTCCAGTAAGCAGGAAAGACTCTTTCTCCTTTCTGTGTCTAATTCCTGGTTTTATGTCTATTTCTTTCTCCCTTACTATTCCGTAGGCAATAACACTTACACCAATGGTGCTGAATGATCCTCATCGCTGGTTAGCAGAAACAAAGGTAATAGTCAAACCCCCTGAAATTTTACTGTGTAAGCTAATATCTAACATTTATAATCACTCAGTTGAAAGTGTGTTTGAAAAGGCACTTAAAGGGGGAAAGCAAAAATACAAAAGCATTCCTTTGGCAATAATTCTGATATTCCCAGACTGTTGTTTCAACTAATGGAATAATTTTCTAAATTTTGCTATCAACAGGAAATAGCTGTGTCTATAGCAAAATAAATAGCAATGCCGTTTTTACAAAAAATGCATTGAAGTAACTGCAGTGATAGCCTTTAGATCTGGTTCAATTATTTTCAGACAAGAAAAACGTGACAACATAGTTAGCAGGTTAAGTTTCTCTTACGGGGTTATAACAAGGCAAGAAATTATTTTAAATAAGGCTGTTACTTATTAAATCTAAAGGACATTAGATTGGATTCTTGGAAAATGAACTATTTTCTTTCCCCCTTTGTTTGAAGCTTTTGAATCCTATAATGTGGGTGCACACATGCTTGAAAATTCTTCAGAGTGATGACTGGTAACTTATAACCCTTGCCTTTCATTTTGCAGCTTTCCTCCTGCTCCCCCAACTCACACACATAAACACTTTCTTATCCAATATCTTTTAAAAGGAGTAAGTTTCTCATAATCAAAGTAGATCACGAGAAACTGTAGAAGGCATGCATTTTTTTTTTTCTTCAGGTAAAAAGGTCAAAGCCACAGGATAATTGACTTAAGGAAAAATTGCAACTGTTTGCATGTAAGATAATTTAAGGTTATTGATGATGTATGGTCTATGTAAGACTTGTAGCCCAAGAAAGACTGCCACTATAGATAGCGAAGATTGGAATCAAAGGAGAAATGTTATGCAGGAAGTATTTTCTTCATTTAAAAAAGTGACACTGACATATTACTGAAAAGACCTTTCAAAGAGCACCCAATAATCATTTACATACATTTCTCACCTAAGTTTCTTTAGCTACTAGAGGGAACTGTAGAATGAATGACTACTTAAAATCCCCTTTTTTTCTTTTAAATAGCCAGTGTGAAAGTATTCTTTTACCACTTCTAGATTTACTATATAGACCATGACCTATCTTATCTATGAGCTTTCTTTCCTTTTTCCTCTGCATGAACCTTAAATATTAACTTTTGCTGACCAGAAAGAATTGATGTCACTTTTTTAGAATGGATAAATGCTTTAAATTCCATCAACATAGAATAGAGAGAGAAAGGTATTCTGAAAGGAAGGAGTATCTCTTGGTGTCTATGTATAAACTAATTCAATGTGAATTTCCATACCTACCCTAGCAAATTCATGCTCCTGATCAAAAAATTTTTAAAAAAAAAAAAAAAATTGCTTCTTCACATACAATTATCAGCCAAAATATATCTGTCTTTTGAGACTCTTTGAAGGTCAACATGTGTCCTCTTAATATATCTGAATGTCCCCTTTTATTATTATTCAGTAATAGGTACAAATGAGTAGTCTGTGACTCCAAAGATAATTTGATCAGTTAATATTTATGTCTTCTTTTCATTAGAATTCTTTACTTTTTATTGTCTAATTTTTTTAACGTAGACTAAGCTTCAGTGGCTGTGCGAGGAGGTAAAGGAGAGAGAAAGTAAGGAAAAAAAGCTGCGATGCTACTTACTGCAGAGCCGAGAACAGCTCAAGCACCTTACGCAGATGAAGGAGGCTGAACATCAGTCTCTCTTTAAACAGATAAAAAAGCAAGAAAAACTTTTGGAAGAAGTTCACAGGGAAAAAAGAGGTATGTTGCTGGTTCCATTTTTGTTAATAAAAGGGAGAAAGAATTTTAAAACTCTACTAATTATAATTCCTAGGACATGTTCAGATGTATTTTATCAGCTAGTTATTACAAACTCTAAGTTGGTAACATGCTAGTGATAACCAAGAAAAGATTTTTTTGTTTTCCCTTGCTGATAAAAAAGGCAAATGTAATCAACTACATTTCAACCCAGTACAATGGTGGAATAATACATGAGTTTGCAATATGGCCAGTAGACAGAGAAGTTATTTTTCAACTGTACCATCTGAGACATTCCACGACCCAGGCAAAGAGGAATTATACAAGAGTCTGAAGCAGCATTGGTAATGCTGCTTTTATCTGTCAAAAAGGAAAAGCCTAAAGCAGTCCCAAGTCCTGTGCAGTTACTCCCTTTTGCTTAAATTGTATGTACAAAGAACTTTGGCAAATTTTCTTCTCATCCCTTCTTCTGTATTGCAAAATGGAGTAAAACAAGCTTTGGTTGTAATTAAAATGAATGACATTATATATGGAATACCACATAAACATAGTTTTCTCCCTCTCTTGGCATGTAATTCTTACTCTGGAGTGTTGTGTGCCAGGCTTGGTGCTAGCATCCGTGTCACCCATGCTTGTCATGAAGGGGAAATACTAATAAGATTTTACTGAGCGGTGTAAAGTTCTGGTAGGGATGGACCTCACTGTGCCCAGCCAAGAGCCATTTTTTAGTCTCAGCTCAGGTACTTGTAGTTTAGTATTTTATAGTTTCTTGAAGATTGACTTCGAGCAGAATTCTTTTAGGAGTAGAGAAACATGCTTTCATCATGACCTTGTTATTCTAGAGTCTCAGGAAGACAGGAAGATCTCAGTCTTTCATCATTCTGTTTTTCATATGTTTACAAGCTCATTTATACTGTGTTACTTGTAGCTTAATTAAACACATTATTTCAGTGAAGAGTATTTTTATAGTAAAACCAGAGCATTATAGCAAACTTGGAACATAAACAATTTACAGCACATCTTTATTTTTATCCTTAAAACCAGATTTTTTTCTGCTGTCAGAAATCAATACTCTGGTTGTTAATAAACAATGTGAGAGTGGATCCTTGTTAAATCCAAACTTAGGTGAAGTATAAAATTTTGAAGTGTAGGCTTGGTCTTGATCAGGAAGAATCCATGCATGTTGTTGGTTTGAGTCGAGTCACTAGCTCTAGTCAGTTCATAATTTATTTGTGAAGTTTTATCTTCAAAGGTGTATCTGATTTACTGTCATTACTGCTTTTGGAAGGTAACTCTGCATCTTTACCTTTCTGGTGTTTAGAAGCTTTCTTTAATTTCCAAGAGGGGATTCTTAAAGGTGCAGGAGCAGGCTGTCCCCATGTGCTGTAAGAAGAACAGGCAGGGAAGACGACTGGCCTGGCTGAACGGGGAGCTCTTGCTGGGACTCAGGAAAAAACAGGAGAGTTTACCACTTGTGGAAGAAGGGGCAGGCAACTCAAGAAGAGTACAGAGATCTTGTTAGGAAAATTAGAAAAGCAAAAGCCCAGCTAGAACTCAATCTGGCCACTGTCATAAGAGATAACAAAAAATGTTTTTACAAATATATTAACAACAAAAAGAGAGCCAAGGAGAATCTGCATTCTTTATTGGATGCAGGGGGGAACATTGCC